TATATTATATTTTAATTCATGGAAAAGGTAAATCTAAACGATCTTTTACAATCATGTTGTAAAATGCAATGGGCATATTAATATGGGCTCATAAAAGACTTAACTTTAAACGAAATCTGTGAACAGAAAGTTCATATTTGTATCTAATCTTGTCTTTAAGATCATTATTTTTGATGATTTATTATTAGTATACTGTGAAGCTACAGTGTTCTCACTGTAGCTTCATAGCCTCTTTTAATTTATATTTTATTGTAAATTTATACATAAACATTATGTAATCAGTCATCCAACAGTCACTTTCTTACTCTGTATATTATATTTTAATTTAATATTAATTATTGGTATTATTTGTTTTTTATTTTTGTGTCTGTACGTACTAACTTTAATTATAAGAAATCTATAATACTAACAAAATGGGCAAGTAAGCCTGATAATAAATAAATAATAATAATAATTATTATATTTATCAACCTCCGACAATACAATAATAATAATTATTGTAGTGTCGGAGGGACTTTGAAGACGAAGAAAAAGCCAGTCGTGTAATCATGGTGTGCAGTAGTGGCTAATGTACATCGGAACGGTGTGATCACACTGTAAAGTCTGTGCACGACGCACCTTTTTATATATTATTTACGTTTTATATTGTCTATCATTTGATATAGAAAAATATTGTATATTGTCACTATTACTCTTATGCTTCTTTTATCTGCCTTTGTTTTCAATACATATTAATATACACTTCCTCTTTGAAAACCGTCTTATCATAATTACATTTACCAGCGTAATGACAGTTCTTTCATTCAGAAAGTCTGTGAATATCAGTAGGCTTCTGCGCATGCACCAAGTTTTGTCCCTGACGGGTCTAAGTAGTCAACTATAAAAAAGGGAGAGCACAATAGATTTATGTATATCGAAGCGTTATAGGCCGAAAGTACCTGATGATAGCAAAAACCCCTCAATAAAAAAGGTGTTATAGAATTAGAAATAGAAATAATATTTATTCAAATAAACTCATTACAAGCACTTTTGAATAGTCATATTTTGATTCTACTACTCACTCGGAATGCAGATTCATCACAAGAAGAATGAGCAAAAAACTTGTGTGTTGCTCTTTTGAATAGATGTTTTTTATATAAATAATTACAGTATAACAAGTAAGAGGCATGCGATAATCAACATAGAATTCGCTACGCACTCATTATTAGTGTAATCAGATAATATTGTCAGTACTATGAATTTTAAGTTTTTCTATAAAAACATTATTATCGTCAACGAATTTTATAGTAAGCTTTTTTGCAAAGGAAGTGTTTTATATGACATTTAAATCTTTTTTCAGGCAGATTTATAATAGACTCTGGTATTTTGTTGTAAAACCTTACGCAATTGTCATAAAACGAATTACTAACAACGTTAAACGACATTTAGGTAAAATCAGTTTGTTATTGTTACGTAAGCTTTTATTGGTGCAATCACTAACTCTATATTCTTCTTGAAATTGTCTATATTCTTCTTGGCATACATGATATTTTCATACATGTATTGAGAAGCAACGTTGAGGATATTTGATTCCATAAAGCACTCTCGTAAAGACTTCCTGGAAGCCATACTATAAATGGAGTTATGTTTCCATACCTTGTAATTACACTGTCATATATCAACAATTGCTGCTTTGATGAACATCTAAGAATTTGTAAACAGTCCACGAAGACGATTTTGCACTTTCTATCTCAGGTAAAAATCTAGGTATGTAAATAATGGATTACATTAATCAAATCCTGCACGGCCCAGATGATATATAACGTCTCATCTGGTCCGTTCGTTGTGCAGAATGCGACGTTTTTTTTTAATTTTAATTATTAAATGCACCGCCTTATTATCTCTGATCAATACGACTGTTGACTGGTAGAGAATGCAATCAGGCAAGTCCGCCATGTATAAAATATTGTGTGCAAGAAAATAAATAAAAGTCAATCTAACTTATATTACTCTTTATTCGTACGTATCTCAGGATGCGCCCAAGCTGCCGATAATATTAGTTTTGAAAATAACTAAATGGATAAAGGATTAGCAAGCGAGTTGTAAGCGAATCCCTAGTTCCGCATAAATTAACTGAGATCCTCCGGTACAATGACGCGCTGTGTGAATTCTGAACGTTTGTATGAATATATGTACCTTAATCTTAGTATTCAGTTGTAGGATATTGTATTCATTAAACATTTATACTTATTTATTTATTTCAGGCTACTAATGGACCATATTATAAATACTTTATAGACTAACATACATATGTAATCATCATTACTTAGTATAAAATAAAGTCTCTGTCGCTATCTGTCCGTATGTATGCTTAAAACTACATTTTGAAGCGGTTTTTTTAATAGATAGAGTGATTCATGAGGAAGGTTTGTATATATAATATATGTACACCCGTGCGAAGTCGGGGCGACTAGCTATATATAAAATTCTCGTGTCACAATGTTAGATACCATACTCCACCGAAACTTAGTATTAATATATTTTAATACTCATTAAGTGTTAAAGATTTCTCAAAAACTACTAGCACAATTTTGAAAAAAATTATACGAGATCATGTACAAAATTTCAAATAAAAAAGGATTTATCAAAATAGATTAATCTAAAAAAATTTCTGAGTAGAACACATAGAAAAACAGTTGTATAGATTAGATTTCCGAAAAAGTGACAAATAAAAAAAAACTGATGACTACTTAAAAGTGCTTCATTGTAAGTTTATTTGAATAAAATATTTTCTCTTCCATTATATTATATATAGAACCTCATCCTCTTTTTGAAGTCGGTTAAAACTACGATAGTGAAATATACGATCCTTATACACATTTGAAAGCAATAACTCGCCGTTATAGCCTTGTTATAATACGAATTGTATGACTGGTTATTCAGTCAGTGGTCAGTCTACCCAACAGCGTGGCATAGTAGTGCAACTAACATTTGGACGAAATATCTAAATCTAACAAGAACTGCTTAAAATTCAACAAATTAATTTTAAAAATGTTAACAATACGAAACGCCTGTTAAGAATTTTATTGCAATAACACTGAAACACCACAAAGACGGCGTATTTACGTAGGATTCTCCAGAATATACATATAAACTCCACAGTGATGTCTATCTCACCTTGTATCACCAGGAACTTGCTATGCAATCTGTTTGATTTGTATGTTGAGATATGGTAGTGACATCGTAGTATGCGGGGTATAAAAGTTTGAATATTTGAACCCCTCGGTGGTGTAACAAAATGTCTACTTTCCGACGGTTGCGGGTTCGTTTTATCGAACTGTGCTATAATTTGTATTTATGAGTATAACTGTTTGTATTGGTCTGGGTGCTATATATAATACGTATGTATGTATTATTAAAAAATGAATTTATATCAATTGCTACCCATAATACAAACTTTGCTTATCTTGGGACTAGATGTCGGTACTAGATACTTCTTCTAATAAATGAATAAAGAATAATCAAAAAGCTCGCTCTCTCAAACCAGGCTTCTTCAATTACGTTTTGAACTTTTATTGGAAGTTATATAAGTGTATGTTTCGTATTTCTCAGACATTATTAAGTTAGTTCTAGGAACTATGAGGAATGTTAGCAATTAGATATATGTATTATTCATCGAAACTTTAAACGTATAATAAACCAATTTTAGAATTTAACATGTATGTTAGTTTCTTTAGAATAAAAAATTAAGCTTTATAGTATCATATGGAATATACCAAATTGATATATTTTTAGTCGGTGGGCTCGGTCGCCATCTACTTAGCAACTTTACTTCCCGGGTTCGATCCCTAGCAAGGTTATAACGTTTGTATAATGATTATCGTTATTTGTATCTGTCTGAGCGTATTTACAAAAAAAATGTATCTAAGTATTTATTTAATATAATTATTAATATTAATATTTTGTCTCCCATTTCTTTTCTTAGAGTAAACCCTAATGGAGATCTGCCCGTTTAGGGGGAAGTAAGCGCGCACTGTGAGACTCTTACACACAAAAAGATGTCCAAAATGCCTACATCCAAAACCCGATGCTGGAGTCGCTGGATCAAATAGCATTTCACTACGACTTCGACGACGGTGATCCACTCTACAGTGGGCCTAATCTCTGCGGGTACTGTTGGAACATTGGACATTGGACACATTGGTTCATTGGACATCCACTACATCCTTGGGGAATGTGCGCGGGGACTTGGACCTTCTGCGCTACTAGTGCGGTGGGTGGGACTAACTCGCGGTCGACACCCCTAGGATGTAGGGGCGACTAGACCCTCAGGACTCTTCTATCGGTAAATTCTAGGTGCCTAATGGAGAAGAAATAACCAGGATGGTTTCCAGGGAGGCTTGAGTGGAAGTCGAGCTCACAGGTCAAATTGCCAGCAATGGAGTCACTGGTCCTCTATACTAAAAGAAAAATCTCCCGTTCCCCCTATTTTAGGCTAGCTATTTACCAGGGTTTTATTTGCATCGTATCGTATACTTTCTGTTGAGACGAATATTTTTAAGAATCAAAGGACGAATAGACGAATGTTATAAAATGTTCTAAATTCAGTAATATGCATTAGCAGAACAAATTACTTTATAAATATGGATCACTGGCTATATTAGAAATCACCCGTGCCTTCGTCTGATTTTTTTTTAAATAAGAGAGAACCTATGCTCATATTCGTGACACAATATGTCTTAAATTTCATTAATATCAGTTTAGACATGAAAAAGTAATACACAGACAGACATAATTTCTTCCTATATATAATATAAGTATAGAAGTATGAATATGTCATTACAAATAACCGCCTCATGTTATTTAATTCGTTCAACCTTTAAATTATTGTAATTGAGTAGGTACGACTGACAAAAACTTTTTTAGTGGCCGACCCAAAAAGCAAAAGTAATTTCCAACTCCAATCTTAATAAATCCGAGTTTTCTTTACTATCTAAAATTTTACCGGTTCAAATTGTAAAATGAGTTCCAACAAAATGGCCGTGTCGCTCAAGAAGAGTCATCCGGAGAAATATCTTTTGAGGTTAATCTGCAGATACCTTTACTATTTGGGCTGCGGAGAGTTTTGGTATGAGCCGACCATTCGCTCTATATACGAGAGAGTAATTTATGCAATATGGTTTATTATAACAAATACTTACTTATATGGCTTCGTTATAAATGAGTGTCTTGGCCATTTGAGAACAAACTTGACCGTCAAGGAAAAGAACGACCTATACCAGTTCTCATGTGCACACCCATCCATATCACTGAAATATTTAATCTTGTATAAGAGAAGAGATAAAATTAAATACATCACAAAAAGAGTTCTAGAAGATACTAGAACTTTTTTCTCGTCTCCTGAGCTCGACAGGGCTTCTTTGAGGAAGGCAATCCTTTACTGCTCGGTGTTGATAATGACAACGTATGTAACGTACACTTTGTCGGAAGTGGAATCTATTATAGCACACTTTAAAGAAGGTAATATGAGTGTTCACATCTCAACTGTATTTCTGTGTGCAGTTAAAAGAAAGGAGAAGTGGAAGAATTACTTATTTTAAAACTTTGGAATTTAGTTACAAATGAATTTTAATATGAATAATTTTATGGTAAATAAAAGTATTAACCTCACTCTAAAGAGCAACACGTTTCTTGTTCGTTCTTCTCGTGATGAATCTGCGTTCCGAAAGCGTGGTAGAATAAAAAATATGTGACCATTCAAAAGTCCTTATATTAAGATTATTTGAATAAAGATTATTTCTATTTCTATTTCTCCACGTATCGACTAGGTTGCACTAGCTGTGGTCACAAAGTTATTTACCATTCTGAAGTTATTTACCATCCAAATTATTCATGTTAAAATCCGTTTAACTATATTAATAAGGGGAAGATTATTTATAATAAATTATTTTAAAAATAAATAACCCCCTTGGATGTAGTTATTTGAACACTGTGTATAAATTTTAAATTTTTTTAAACTAGTTAGAACGACAAACAAACGGCCCACCCGATGGTAAATGGTAACCGTCTTATTTATAATATATAATTCATGTTTACAAACTTGAATAGCACTATGGACATCACGTTATCGTGTGATACCCCTGATACCACAGATATGTTAGTATATATAATGTAACGATGTATCTAAGTATTTATATCAGTTGTCTGGACCCAAAACACAAGCTTTAGCTCGGGACTAGATGAATTGTTTAGGAATATTATTGTTGACGGCCTCCTTGACAGGACTGCTTGCTGGCCGGATATAAGACGTAACTAGGACAGACGAAAGAATTGACAAGACAGACTCGACAAGGAAAAAAGACGACAATTATATAGATATTTAAATTATTATATTTTACTCTGAAAACAAGCTCTTTTCTTTAACTACGACGACATCTCTCAACGGTCGGCCGACCAGCAGACCGTTCAAGTGGTCCTTCGAGACAACTTTCAACCAACCTATGGTGCAGACACGAAGACAAGCGAAGATGACGACAATACCGACGGCGCTGCCTGCTACTACTGACCAGGGTGAACACGACCGACAGTCCGCCCACGGTAGCCGCCAGCCCTCACCTACACCGTCCGCTCGGTCCAATGTGTCAACATCGAGTGTGGTAAGACGACAACGACTCCTACAACTGCAACTACAAGCCGCAGAAGAACGCGCCTTAGTAGAGACCAAACTGATTGAAGAGAGACTTGCAATAAGATCACAGGCGCTGGAAGACGAAGACAACTGCATCACGCCTAGCAGATATCAGTCCCGCGAATCGATACACCTGCCTACAACTTCAGGTATGATACATCACGACAGTATGCCTCAAACCATGCCAATGGCCGTCAATACTAATCCTCAGACACAGCCTGTCATACAAACCGTACCACAACATATTCCGCAATCGCCACATCATTATACATGTAAACTAGAGAATGATATGTCCAAACTCTTAGCCAGACAGACATGCACAAAAGAGTTGCCTATGTACAGCGGTGACCCAGAAGACTGGGCATTATTCTATAGTCAGTATAATTCGACAACACGCCTATGTGATTATAGCGACGATGAAAATATTGCAAGATTGTCACGCTGCCTAAAGGGTCGTGCACGTGACGCTGTATCTGCCCTGTTGGTGAGTGCAACAAACCTGAAATTAATTATTGACACATTAAAATTACGATTTGGTCGACCGGAATTAATCATAGAAGTCATGTTAAATAAAATAAGAGCCATGCGCGATATACGTCACGACGATGTCAGTCACTTAATAGAATATGCGACTGCAATTCAAAATATTGTTGCGACTATGAAAATGACAGATGAAATCGGACATTTGACAAATCCCACATTGATAAGGGAAATAATTGGAAAATTGCCGTCTTTATTGAAATATCAATGGAGTATGTATATATCAAATAAAAATGTAAATATTGTTACCTTATCCGACGTCTCAGAGTGGCTAATGACAGTAGCTAATGCCGCGACATATATTGCTCCGCTTCCTGTAAAATATGTAAATAATTCTATACCGAGACTGCCGCCTAAGCCTGAACATAGACAATGGAGACCAGTGATAGCTGCGACATCTTCTTATTCAGCTTCATGTGTCCTATGTAACAGAGATCATCGATTAAGTGACTGCGATGACTTCAAGCAGATGACTACTGACGACCGCTGGAAGCTGGTAACTGACAAAAAATGTGCTTTTCTTGCCTATCTCTGCGACATCAGCTGAAAGCATGTAGGAGAAAAACTAAATGTTCAGTACCTAACTGTACACGTGTACATCACACCCTGCTTCATGCTGCTCCGCGTGATGAGTCCGGAGAGAGAGTGGTTTCAGTCAACCACACCGAAATGACAGCGAGCATCGACAACCAACACTCTCATGTACTACTGAAAGTTATCCCGGTGGTAGTATCAGGAACAAAGGGTGATGTCACTACTTTTGCACTCCTAGACGAAGGAGCATCTTTGAGCCTAGTTGACAATGCGCTGCTCGACAGGGCCGGCATTACCGGACCGACAAGAAGTTTATACATGCGCGGTGCGTCTGGAATGTCAACTACAGAGACGGACTCAAAAATAGTGTCGTTTAATATTCGCGGTATAAATGAACAAAATGTGTATAGTGTAAATAGTGTGCGTTCTATAAATAATTTGAACATTTCTGTAGATAGTATTTCATATAAAAATATTGTAAATAAATTTCCTTATGTAAAAGACTATGTGACAGACTATAACATACGACCTAGAAAAATAGAATTACTGATTGGACAAGACAATATCGACTTAATTATAACTAGACAAATAATACAAAGACATAAGAACGGACCTATGATTTCTAGGACAGACTTGGGTTATGTATTACATGGAAACATTGGGTTCAGTAGTATAACGAATGACAGTACTATATTACATCTCTGTTCTTGTGACGAATTACATAACCTGGTGAAGAGATCTTTCTCTACAGATTCTTTCGGTGTGAAGCAGACAGGCGACTTTCCTCGTTCTCGAGAGGATCAGCTGGCACTGAAGATTATGGAACGGACAACGAAGCTCTTGCCTGAAGGACGATGGGAGACTGGCTTGTTGTGGAGGTCTGATGACGTTCAGCTTCCTAACAGCTACCCACAGGCGAAGAGTCGACTCTCAGGTATTCAGAGAAAGTTTAATAGGTACCCTGAGTTTGCCGTCAAGTATGAGGAGAAGATACAGGAGAACCTCGACAAGGGTTATATTTCGAAGCTATCCTTAGAGGAAGCTTCAGTCAAGACAACCAAAACCTGGTATCTTCCTCATTTTGCCGTATTCAACCCTAATAAGCCTAACAAATTACGGATAGTACTAGACTGTGCCGCCAAGTCTGATGGTAGGTCACTCAACGATTTTTTAATGAGCGGACCGGACCTTTTGACATCTCTGCCTGCCGTACTATTAGGGTTCCGTATAGGTAAATTTTCTGTTATTGGAGATATTCAAGAAATGTTTCACAGAGTTCTTATTAGAGAAGACGACCGACATGCCCAGAGACTTCTGTGGAACGACGACATATATATCATGAATGTTATGACCTTCGGAGCAGTCTGCTCACCATCATCAGCGCAATATGTCAAAAATATTAATGCCCGCAGATATGAGACGACCTGTCCTGAGGCTGTAAAGGCAATTGTCGACCATCACTATGTCGACGACTACATTCACTCCTTTGACGACGAGGACGATTTAATACGAGTGGTGGATGACGTTATACGTATACATGCCTCTGGTGGTTTCAATATAAAGAAACTTTGTTTCGAATTCCCAAAGACTTTTACAGCACTTACCTGTAGACAAGCTTGCTCCGAGTAGCCTGAAGATTCTCTCCAACTCCAAGGATGACCAGGTCGAGCGTGTACTTGGAGTACGCTGGAACCAAGAGGCTGATGAGTTTGTCTTTGAACTCAAGTTTCCAAAGGTAAGTGAGGACATTAAGACCGGGTTAAAGAAACCAACCAAGCGTGACGTGTTGAGATTGACAATGTCCATCTTTGATCCATTCGGTTTCCTCCTGTACGTCACAGTAAGGGGTCGAATACTCCTACAAGATGTGTGGAAATCTAAAATCGGATGGGACGACGAAATCGAATCGAGTCACTTCGAGAAGTGGCAATTATGGTTGACGAAACTTCAAAAGATTAGTACGTTTAGATTCCGCGTTGGTTCTTTACTGACATGTGTGACAAACAAGTTACAGAACTACATGTATTCTGCGATGCAAGTAGTAAGGCATACGCAAGCGTTGCTTACCTTCGTGTCAAGATGGTAGACGGAAGCTGTCACGTATCCTTCATCATGGCACGTGCTCACGTCGCTCCACTGAAGGTGATGCGTATACCCCGACTCGAGTTGCAAGCTGCACTGGAGTAATGGGTGCTAGGCTAGCTCAAACCTTGAAGAGACACTTTGACACAAGCGTAACGCTATGGTCTGACTCTAAGACTGTTTTAAGCTGGTTGCGTTCTGATAGCGGTCGTTTCAAGCCTTTCGTCGCTCATCGTGTCAGTGAGATCTCCGAGATAACCGACGTCAATCACTGGAGGTGGGTACCATCAGGACTGAACGCTGCAGATGACGCTACAAGGGACACGACAATTGAGGACAACGTGAGGTGGCTACATGGACCACAGTTTCTTCGTATGTCTAAGCAGTTCTGGCCTTTAGAAGATAACGACGTAGCTGTGGATCCTACAGACATTGAAGTAAAAACTCTCTGCGTCTTAACAGTTGTACCTTTCGAGCTACCTGATATCAGCCGCTTTTCTAAATTCTGGAGGCTAGTAAGAAGTACCGCCTGGTTTTTTCGAGCTGTATACAACTGGTCCCACAAAGACAATAGAAAGAAGGGTGAATTAACAGTAGACGAAATTAAAATAGCAGAAAAGTCGTGGATTAAAGAAAGCCTTCGTCTGGAAACTTATTCCATAATGAAATAAGTTGTTTGAAGAAGTCTGGACTTAGACAAAGACAGTTGCTTGCGACAGCTGACACCTTTTTTAGACAAAGACGACATTCTTCGCGTTATATAATTAGTGAGGCCGACGTTAATAGTGATACTAGGCACCCCATCATTTTGCATCCAAAAGACAATTATACTCGTCTGCTAATGCACCAGTATCATCAAGACGCAGCCCATACAGGACAAGAGCTGGTTTTCAACAATTTAAGACAGCGTTTTTGGGTAATTGGTGGAAGAAATGCTGTCAAGTCTGTCTGGAACGACTGTCAAGTATGTAAAATAAGAAGAGCAAGACCTGACCCACCTTTAATGGGACAACTACCCGAAGTACGACTGACAGCTGGTGGACGACCATTCCAGTTTACGGGCTTGGATTACTTTGGTCCCATGCTGGTGAAGAGGTATGGGGCTCTTTTCACCTGCCTCACGGTAAGGGCAATCCATATTGAAGTGACACATGACCTGTCGACTAGTAGCGCGATTATGGCTATCCGACGATTCATAGCCCGACGTGGATGCCCAAGACAAATATGGAGTGACAACGCCACTACTTTTAAAGGAGCCGACCGTGAGCTTAAGCAGTCCGTAGCATCCTTAGATAAGGACGAATTACTTCGTTTTGGCACTGTAAAGGGCATCGATTGGCATTTCATCGCACCCAATGCTCCTCACATGGGAGGCTGTTGGGAACGAATGGTGAGATCCGTCAAGACAGCGCTTCGTATCACTCTAAAAGAGACGGCCCCGAGTGATCAAGTGTTGTCTACGTTACTTACCGAAACAGAACATTTTGTAAATAACAGACCCCTGACGTACGTACCGATTGACAAGGACGACGACTTACCATTGACACCAAACAGCTTTTTGATGACCAAGACTGATTCTGTTGACTTACCTGTTAGTACCTGTAATGACGGTGAGGTATTGCGACGATCCTGGAGGCACTCTCAACGACTTGCCGACTTGACCTGGAAACGCTGGATCAAGGAGTACCTCCCAATTATTTGACACTACGAGACAAATGGTTCCAGACTGAGACACGACCACTGACTATCGATGACATTGTCATTGTGGTCGATGACCAACTTCCCCGCAACCTGTGGCCCAAAGGACGAGTGACAGCTGTGTACCCTGGGAAGGACGGTAGGGTCCGAGTAGCTGACGTGCTGACTTCGACCGGACTATATAAACGGCCAGCAACGAGGCTCGCCAGACTGGACGTCCGCACTTAGAGTATTGGTTTCCAATACTGGAGGTGGGGATGTTGCGGCCTCCTTGACAGGACTGCTTGCTGGCCGGATATAAGACGTAACTAGGACAGACGAAAGAATTGACAAGACAGACTCGACAAGGAAAAAAGACGACAATTATATAGATATTTAAATTATTATATTTTACTCTGAAAACAAGCTCTTTTCTTTAACTACGACGACATCTCTCAACGGTCGGCCGACCAGCAGACCGTTCAATTATTATTACCTATTTTTTTTATGTTCTTGAAATAATTAGGTATTATAAAATAGTTATGGGGTCACAATGATTTGTTATATTCGTTATCTATACATATAAATAAAATTGGAGGGTCTGCTTGTAATATTAAAATAACCGTTTTTTACTACATGCGTATGAATATAAATACGGTACATACACCAAAATAACATTTTTTACAATTTTTGTGTATATGTCTGTTTGTTCCGGCTAATCTCTGAAATGGCTGGACAGATTATGACTGGACTTTTTTGGTAGGTAGCTGATGTAATAAGGAGTCACTTAGGCTACTTTTATTTTAGAAAAATAAAGTTAAATTCCATGCGGACGAAGTCGCGGGAATAGTTAGTAAACTATATGTTTGTACGTAAGCTTTTTAGCTATAAAATAATATTTTGCATTTATAGGTACACCTATCAGAACAGAAGTGACATTGTTCCCCAGGTCGACTGACACAATGGCCACAAAGATTTTCAGGTTCTTCATTGAAATGCACTGGGGTTATTTCATAACTATAATGATTTTAACTGATTGTCTCTGCTATTGCTCTCTCGTATTCATGAGCTTTAGGTTCAAACTTCTGCAGTTGTACTTCGAAAAGCTAAGGGACAATTTCTTAACTAACCCTGAAAATAAGAGTCACAATGAGTTGGAGGAGGAATTCAAGCAATCTTTTACAGTTGGGATGAATTTGCATGAAGATCTTTTGAAGTAAGTATTGATTACGTTTAAATATGAAGTACAAATAAATGAAATTGAAGTGTCAGTTTGTAATTTCAAATTAACAGCTTTTCACTAAATGCATATTAAAGAATAAACGGTAACTACATCCAAAAATTAATCTAAAAAGTTTTTCTGTCTGTCTGTATGTTTGTTCTTGTTAACCTCTGAAACAGCTGGAGTGATTTTCACTTTTAATCGCAGATAGCTAATGTTATAAGTAGTAACTTAGGCTACTTTTATTTTATTTTAATAAAAAAAATAAGTCCACTTTGACAGAATTTATGAGAAAATTGTAATAATACAGATTATGATCGCGGCTTAGGCTGTGTTTAGAATTAATACTCAGCGTTATTTATTTTTAATTCCTGTCATAAAAAGGGAGGTGTTATAAGTTTGACGTGACTGTGGATCAGTCAGTATCATGGTGATTGCGAAATGAATGGGCCGATTATGATGCGGTCTTCATAACTTGTAGCTCAGTTCTAATAAGATTTGATGATGTAACGCCAGCACGGATGCAGGCGTTTCGAAGTCATCAGCTTTTATTACTTTTTGGAAGGTCTATTTCTTTGGCGTTAATTAAAAATGTCGCATAAGTTCTTCTGTTGAGAAGTATACTAATAGAGTTTCTTGTCAATTCTTCTCATCTCGAAAGCACTCCGAACTGACGGTAGATTTGATATATCATAAGAGTTTGTATTTATTTCTTTGCAGAATACAATGCTACAAGTAGGTCTTACAATATGAATATTCGTTCAATGATTCAGCCTGCAAACAGGCGTGCAAAATTTATATACATTATTACTTTTATAAATTGAATTATTTTTAAAATATTTTTAATAATTAAATTAAATTGTTCATATATTAAAATATGTAATAGACCTATACATGAATAAAGATATTTTGAATTTGAAATTTGAATGGAATATAACATTCTCATATCGGAGTTTTAATTCAATTTAACTTTTAATTTATTTGTAGGTGTGCCCGTGAAGTGCAAGAAACCCTCGGCGCTATATACAGCGTGCAGATATTGGAGAGCATGTCTCTTATCGTCATGTGCCTCATCAAACTTGTCGTAAGAATATATATTAGTACACATTTCTTATTATATAACAAATAAATAACCCCTGGAAAATTAACATAGCGCCAAAATAACATCATCAACATCGTGGAACAAATTCATAAGTGGAACGGAACTATTTCCAAGTATTTTTTTTTTGTTGATTTTATAAGTGGCCAACACATGACCGTGAAAAAAAATATTTTATAACAAGAGCCTGACGTAGTGAGATCCGATTTTAAAAGTTTATAATGTAGATATCTTTTTTACTCGTATTTAAACACCTGGTGAAAATTGTATAATATTATATGAAAGATACTAGACAACTGATATAACATACAACATAATATTCATTTAAGTATTGAAAAGCAAATACATACGTAATTATATAGAAAACACCCAGACCGATACAAATAATTATACCCATGAATGTTTGCACCTAAGTGGTCTGGAACAGCGCGGTTTCAGAGGAACTTCCTCCCGCGTACACTTAGGTGGAATTAACTTCCTACCGAGGTTTTCTCACGAGACTACAGCATGAGGTTCTTCAACAAGGGTATATTAAGGTTTCTTAAGGGTCGGCAACGCGCACGTGACACCCCATTTTTATCCCCCATTTACCATCAGATGGGCCTGATGGATGGATGCCTGTTTGCCACCATAGTAGTATAAAAAAAAATCGAAGAATCGACCATTGGAAGTAAAGCGGTGATCTAAACCGCTAGAACACCGAGGTCGTCAATGAAAAAAATGTCGTAATATTTTATCAATTTCTCTACCATACAACTCGGCTAGCTACATTAGTTAATAAGAACTGGTAAGAAATTCAACTTGTACAGTTTTTTAATCAGTTTACATCCATGTCCAGATCAGGCCAGTCCTTCTAAATTATAGCACATGATCCCTCATGACTACGAGCATCACGTGATTGGCCCTTCCGATCGATCCCCCGTCCAATTCAAATGATGATCGAAATTATGATGGCCTGTGCTGAGACTAAAGTCATATCCGTCACGCGGGAGTTGGCTACCGGCCACTTCATAAGTAGATAGATAGATAATTTTTTTTTTTATTAAGGCACACCTTTTAACGTGATTAAAAATTTTATCTACACAACCACACAAAGCACTGTATAATAAAAACAAAAATAAAAACAGATTTACAATTACATTAGCCAAGTCAAACAAAATACAATACATAACAAATATACAGATAAAATAAAATGCAATACAGTTAACAACAAAAAGAAACGGTATGAGTAACGTAGTGTGTGTGCAGCCGATACACAAAAAGGCAGCACTTCAGTGTATTGTTTACTGCATACAAGCAGCAAACCACTGATATTCAGGCACTGCCCAGAGAACTACTGCGGGTTTGGAGTGCTATCTGCACTGCCCCCCTATCGTCCGGTGAAACTGTAAATTGTTGTAGCGCTCATCATGTATAGAGATTGTTTCATCGCAGAAAAAATGATATTTCTAATTAATTAACTCTAATTTTTATTGTTTTAAGCACGCTGAAAGGAATTTAGTGTTTCTTTTGGCTGATCTTGGTTACATATCGGTTATGACAACGTTAACTGGAGCTTATATGATGATATCTGGAGATATCACACACGAAGTAAGTAAAGTCTAATCTATACATATAAATAAATTGGAGTGTCTGTTTGTAATATTGACATAACCGTTTTTTACTACATGCATATCAATATAAATACGGTACATACACCAGAATATCATTGTTTACAATTTTTGTCTGTCAGTCTGTTTATTCCGGCTAATCTCTGAAATGGCTCGACCAATCTTGACGTGACTTTTTATGGCAGATAGCTGATGGTATAAGGAGTAACTTAGGCTTCTTTTATTAACAAAAATTGCACGAGGACGAAGTCGCGTGGATAGCTAGTAGAAAATATAAACAATCACACTCATAAATACAAATGTTTGTACAGTGCGAGGAATCGATCCCGCGATCCAGATGTGAGGCGGTGTACTAAACTGGTAGACCACTGAGACCGTCGTTAAATCTATATTAAATATAATCTTTATTTAAGTAATATATAATGACATGAATATTTTAATAATTAGCATAATAATTAGCTTATAAATTATATATTAATTAATATAAAAATTACGGTTAAATTTTTATATTAAACTTATATAGCATATCCAGCAAATGTTGTTTGTTGTATAAATTATATATAATATTGTTATTAAAAATAGGGGTTGATGGTAGAAGGGCGATGGTAGAAAACCTGGATCCCATTCTCTGAAAGAAATAATATGTACTTTATAGTTCAAAAGCAAATGTATAGAATAGAATAGAATACAGAATATACGTCAGCACAATATATATTTCTGTCTGTTTCTGACCATGTTTTATTAAAAAGCACCTTTATATCTATGGAAGATTATTATGCAAAATTAGTACACTTCCTTATATATTGCATTTCCTAGAAACTCACAGAAATCTAGATGGAAAGGATTTTAAGTAGCAAATGCTTTACAAAATTCTCGTGATTCAATAAATTCTGTATAAGACTGGATTTAGTCTCTATAAAAGACGCAGGAAATAAGCTTATACAGCTTTCTGCTCGCCTGCGAATTAACTACCTAAAGAGCGTTCTCGTAATGGTTTTATAAATCTCAAAGGCCGTGAATTCGAATCTAGCAGGCATCAAAAATGTATATATGTACATATATCAATATTTTGAATGACGGCTAGAAAAACACTACAAACAAAATCTCATTTCGTTGGCTATATATGAATTCAACGAGCCAGTGGGCCTATCGCCTTTAATCGGATTAAATTGGACAAAGATGGTTTGTTATCTGTATTTCCATCACCCGAAAGTCGTGTTAATAATTATTTAAAATGACTCACAAAGTTTTCTTATGGTGTTATAATGTAATGTAATAAAATTGAACTCTCAACTCTCTTTCTCTCTTAATTGTAGCAGTTTTTATTATTTAGTTATATAATAATGACATGTAGACCCGCTTGTTCCAACGATAATTTACGGTGGGGCTCCACTGGAGGATGATGCAATGAAGACAAATCAGTTAGCCATTAGGTAGTAACTCACGATGGTTTTCGGGGTTACCGCGTGGATGTCTAACTCACGTGGTACATTATTAGCAATGTGTAAATTACTGTGACATATTGCCGTAGTTAGTCATAGTTAGTAAGTTATAATGCAAGCGGCTTTAAATAAAAAATATATTATTATTCTGCATTACTAACAAGTTTTTACCCTCCAATAAAATAGCAAACCACTGGGAGTCGACGCTCTTTTATATCATATATATGATAATAGTCAAGGTGCAGGACATTCTCGACTATATACAGATCAGGAGTAACCTCTCATTGAGGGTGACGCAGCTGGCGTCGAGTCACAATGCGAGGTTCAAGGCGTTTGTGTTGTTTTCCACTAACATGCTGCCCACCTTCATGAAGGAGGACTACTGGTCGAAGGGGGTCGTGTACCGGTGCTACCGTGGCAGAGTCTTCGTCAGTGCCTATAAAGACAATTATAATTTCATACGTATGTCAGTCTATAAGTTATTTATAATATGAGGTATTAGTCGCTTGAATTAAATAAATAATATATATATTACAGGCATACGAATTATCAACATCTATATTCCACTCCGGCTGGGACTTGTCCCGGAACCGTGACATACGTCCTTTAGTTGTGGTTGCTATACAACGGAGCCAGGTGCCCGTCTATATGACTGGACTAGGCGTGATCACGCTGTCGTATGCCAACTTTATATCGGTAATACATTTGTTAATATTAAAGAGTAGAAAATCAAAATAAAAGTAAAAATTATTTTATTATAGAACACTTTTGACCATTTATGCACGTTACAACATTATTCATAACAAATTTAAAGTAGAAATTCATATTGAAGTAAAAATTAAAATTTCAGTTATTTCATTTCATTATATAGAATACTTTTGGTCACGTATGCACGTCATAGCACTAGTTACAATAAACCCAAAATAATATCGGTAATATGTATATACTATTCATATTAAAGTCAATATCAAAATTGTTCCATTATAGAACGCTTATGGTCAACTACGCATGTCATTACACTATTTATAAGAAATTCAAAGTAAAAATAATATTAGTAATATGCTATTCATATTAAAGTATTGTAATGTAGTACATACTATTACTATTACTACATATTACATAACAAACTAAAAGTAAAAATAATATTGGTATACACTTATAATATTTAAATCAAAGTCAAAGTCAAAAGGATTAGAGGAGGTTAGGATTTACCTTAAATAGCAGTCTATTTAGGGAAAATCCTAACTTTCTTTGTAATGTAATTGTAAATATCATATAGAGGAGGATGCACGGAAGTCTCCTGGACCATAACATAGGGAAACCTAGATTGAGCTCCTCTCTCCCTCATCTACCAATCCTATTCTAGTATTTGTAAAAATAGGTTTTTCCTATGGGTGAAAATAAACTTATATATTAAATTGTTATTTTTCAAGGACTAAGTAGTCATACCTCTTATCATTTAATTTTAGTACTTAATCTGCACCTTACAATCGAAATACAGTCTACAAAGCAAGCTGCTTAGCGGCTAAAATAAGTGACAATATAATAGTAATAATTTTGATTCAAATAAATTTATTCTTTTAATGCTATTGCTGCTATTTAATGCTATTTTAATGCAATATTGTTTACTTTCAGGTGATGCGGTCATCATATTCATTCTTCGCCGTTATGTACTAAAGTAGATGTGTAGTTGCTAATATATATGATTTATAAACCCCGAGTTATAAATTGACAATTATTTATTTATATCAAGAAGTATTAAACATTAATAACGCAGTATATTACGATCAAATAGTTCCAGAATAATGTTGAAAGCAATCAATATATTAATAGTTTTCTTCAGTGTAAAAATGTTTAATATACGAGAACACACAGTCTGATGTTTTATTTCATAAATTTTATTGAAATACAAAGTTGAGTTGAAATCGAGAAATTTTTAATTTAGTTTGTTATTGGTATTTCCATCATCGTGTTTTAACACATATAATTTTGTAGTAGACACCGCTCTCGATGATTCTACTTGCACTAGCCGTGGTCACGAGTTGACTGGAGTGCATCGATGTCAATGGCGGTAGGTGCCAGCAATTTCTTTCTTTAGCTATGTTTAATATTTATCACTGCTGATAATTTTAAACCATATCCCGGTTGATATTGGGTTATTTTTTCGTGTCTACCATTTGTGGATTATAAGACTATTAGTAGAGAAGACTTAAGGTATGGCATGCAACACAATCCAATGATATATTTCAACATACAGCAGATAATCGGCAATCACAGAGTGGTAGGGTTGTCGATGTTTATAAAAAAAAACCGAATAAAATACATATGATATATTTAGAGGATTACTGGACACAATTAAACAGTACTGAATAAATTAAAGTTGTATATTATCAGCACTCAAAAGTCACGAACAATTGACAGCCTCGGTGGTCTAGTAGTTTAGCATGCCGCTTTACTTACCGATGGTCGCGGGTTCGATTCCTCGCAGGTACAAACATTTGTATTCATGAGTATAATTGTTTGTATCAGTCTGGGTATTTTCTACTTATAATATGTATTTAATTACAAAAAAATGTATCCATGTATATATATCAGTTGTAGTAGTACTAGTACACATAACACAAGCTCTGCTTATCTAGGGACTAGATGGCACTGTTTGAATTGCCTCGAGATATTATTATTATTATTAATTTATGGTATCCAAATAATAAGCTATCTTACGAGTATATCCTTCAAGTGTGTACAGAGTACAGTAGTCTGCAAAATTAACTGCACATATGGTTACTATAATAATGTTTTCAGAATGTTGTTGCGTTTGCCGCGTTTTTGTAGTGCATCCACAATGTTTGCAGGAGCATCAACAGACGACCTGTATGCCATCAGACGCAAACGGATCGCTTCTCTATTGCACAGACTGCGGGGCAGCAGTAACAGCATTCTGAAAATGCTGTGCAATAAATTTGACAGCCCAATACTTTGTTTTTGGACCCAAATTGTTACGGGGGCCCTTAAATGATAATATGTAATTTTAGATATACTAACATAGGCTAAGTACAATTGTTACTAACAAATTGGATCTCTGTTATCTGAATAAATAAATTTAAATTAAATTAATAATATCGGTAAAATAAAACGTTCGATAGCTGAAAGGGTAGAGCTCATCGTATACGATGATAGCCAATTAAGTTGAATATCAGCTTATATTCCATTCCAACTATAAAAAAGAAATTATTAAAAACACAATTTACATGTTACTGAACGTTCATAGTTCAATTTAGAGAGTATCTGCCAAGTATTTGTAGAGCTCGCCTTTTGTTGAATTCAAACTGTAAAGAGCTATCTTATAATTAATTTTCCGATATTTTAAAGGGCTGTAGCTCTTTGGGATTTTAGAAATTCAATAAAGCCTCCATTGAATTGGGTAGGTACTTATATCTGGTAGTATAAACAAGGCAGATAATAGAATAAACAGCTGTATTCAATATGAAAATTTGGTTACACGGAGATCTACAGGCTTCAGTTAATTAGGTAATTCATACAGATATATACTAATATTTCAGCGCTAGGTTTTGTTAGCCTAGCGGTTTAGCATACCGCTTTACTTCCGTTGGTTGCGGGTTCTATCCCTCGCCCGATACAAAAAATTGTATTCATGAGTATGATTATTTGTATTAGTCTGCGATTTTTATATGTATTACATAAGTATTCAAAGAATGTATCTAAGTATACCTACCAGTTGCCTAGAACTCATAACAAGCTATGCTTGGGACTAGATGGCGCTGTGTAAATTGTCCAGAAATATTATTATAATTTTAAAGAATACCTGTTTCTTTGGTTGAACACGCTAATCTCAAGAACTACTGGTGCGAAATGAAAAATTGTCTTAAAGTCCATTTATCAAGAAAGGCATACCATATAACATCACGCTACGACATATAGGAGCTGAGTAAGCAAAATAATAAGAGTAAGAATGAATCCTATTCAAAAAGAACTAACTCAAAATAGCAGATTAATCCCATCTTAATTTGCTATTTTGAGTTACTGAAAAACTTACGGAAAATCTTATTAAAGAATCACTCTTTGCATGAACCGCCTAATATAGTTGTGATTAAGTCTAGTAGTTTATTTATCAACTGAAAGAAACGCATGTACATTTCTTTCAGTAGAATAGAATAGAATAGAAAATCATTTATTCAAATAAACTTACATTGAAGCACTTTTGAATAGTCATAACATTTTTTTTTAATCTACCGCTCATTCTGTCAATGCTGTCTGGAATGCTGTCTCATCACAAGAAGAACAAGCAAGAAACTTGTGTGTTGCTCTTTTAAAGTTTCTTCTTTTCAACTTTTCAGTTGATTCGTGGTTATCAAATATTATGTACCTATTGGGTCTTGTTTCAAAATATGTTTCTTTCTTTTTATATAGACGAAATGCCCTACGGGACCCATGGTGTATTAGTTAATGTGTTTCTTCTTTTACCATTAGCATTTCCCGTTGTATATTTTACCACGGAATTAATTTGTATCTTTTACTTGACAAGGTAATACAATTTTCTAATGAAATATTATCTTAACATCTATCTATAGTAACAGAGGGCACGGTCTGTGGTAGAGGAGATGGCGTAAGATGGCGTGTTACAAACTCTACAGATCTTTATATATTTTTTTTTTATTTTGGAATTGAATTAATAAATGAAACTCTGTATTGTCCCTTTCGCAGAAAATACATTTATTATATATTAATGTCACCATTTCACTGTTACTGTTCGTGTATATATTACAAGTTTTTTATTATTATCATTAATAGTACATAAAAAAAACCATTATTAAATAGAAAACTGTGTAATTATTATTATTATATTATATTAAAGAATTGGGGTTGATGGTAGAAAGGTGAAAATTCAGGGTGGATAGTATTTTTTAATCATAAAATTATAAATATAAAAAAGTGGCTAACAGCCCATTATTAACTCCGGAGTCAAAAAACTTATAACACCCCAAGTGTACGTGTAACTTGTCTATGTGTCTGTCTGTGGCATAGTATCTACTAAAGTAATTAACCGATTATGAAGCGTTTTATTGTTAGGAAATTGTCGTTTTGAAAGTGCTATTTGTAAGTGACAATAGGATCATTTTAGTTTAGCTACGGTAGATATCGCGTAATATTAATGATATTATGATATCGCGTAATATTAATGATATTATGATATCGCGTAATTTTATATATAAGATATATATAAAATTCTCGTGTCACAGTTTTCGTTCCCATACTCCTCCGAAACGGCTTGACCGATTCTCATGAAATTTTGTGAGCGTATTGAGTAGGTCTGAGAATCGGCCAACATCTATTTTTCATCCCTCTAAATGTTAGGGGTAGTCCACCCCTAATTTTTTTTTTATTTTAAGGCAAAACAACGTTTGCCGGGTCAGCTAGTATATATATTACAATTAAAAAGTCCTTTTATTATTATTACTTGAATAATGATTACATATTTCTATTTAACGGGTATTTATTTTTAGAGTATTTTTGTACCACACGCAATCGACGCCTTTCCCTATTCTTATTTGAGGGCAGCTTTTGTCTCGTTTTAAAACATTATTTATTATTAAAATAACCCGGCTCCCCTTTGATCATGCCGGGGCACTCTGCCAATCATGATGAATATTGTCTCTGGTTTGTTTGGTTTCTTTATGGTATCTACGTTACGGCGTAATTTCAACCCTTCAAATAAGACAACAAAATGTACTTTCATTTCAATAATGAATATAAAGAATATTGCTGGTATTGTTTGTATGTGCAATTAAAATATACGAGTATAATAGGGCAATGGAAGAAAGTGGTGCAGGATTTTTTTGTAGTGAATAGAATGGTAAAGTGGCACCGGTGTCACTTTACCATTCTATTCCGGTGTCTCTGACAAGAGAGGTTGAAGAGTAATCGTCTATCATGGTATGGACATGTAATGCGTAGGAACGAGGATAATATTTTAAGAAAGGTGTTACATATGAATGTTGATGGTTATAAGGGCAGAGGAAGGCCGAAAAAGAGATGGATGGACTGTGTGAAAGATGATATGGTAAGAAAGGAGGTAAATAACGCGATGACTGCGAACAGGGATGAATGGAAGCGAAAAACATATTACGCCGACCCCAAATACATTTATTTGGGGTCGGCGTAATATGTTTTTCTTCTTCCTTATTCCATTGGATAAGGAAGAAGTAGATGATGAATAGAATGATGCAGTCTGCGCTAACGGACTACGCTGGCAGAGCACTATCGTATGGAGTGGCAGTTTCTTTTATAGCAAAGATAGTAAAATATAATCTTTCACGATTGTGCGCTAAATTACGTGCGCACCTGTTGATCGCGTGTGGACGATGTGTCGTGTAAAGGTAGGGTTGCCATCTCTAAAATTTGGGATCCATGACAAGACGCGTAAAAAATCAAATTTTAGAGTCCAATACCATGTCAATAGACATTAGACATTGTCAGTGCAATAAAAAACAGTTAAAAATGTCATAAATTTATTTATTAACCTTTTTCGTTATATTCAGACTTTTCAGATTTATTTATCGTTATTTTAAATGTATCTATCAAAACAGAATCTTATTACAGTTTGTTACAAATTGTTTTAATGATCAGTTCCATTCTTTTTGTTCTTAAAATAAAACACA